AGCCTTTGTTTTAAAGGAAAGTACCGAAGAACTTTTTGAGGAATCTTTTTTCCTTTACCTTCTCGAGACTTATACCTCGACTCACCACATTGTGGACAACATTCTTTACCTTCATTCTCCTTCCAGAATAAAGTACAATCATTTTTACATGCATGGATCGGTTCATATCCAAGACCTAAATCACGCAACAAGGTTTTAGTCTCATAATAGGACTTTGGCAACGTGTTGTCATCGGGAAGCAATTCCTTTAGCACCTTAAGCAACATGTCAAAACATTTGTTGGTCATTCGGCTTGTAACTTTCACATGGAACAACTTCAAAATTGCTGACAACTTAGATTGTTTTTTACAACCTGGCCACAATTCGCATTGTGCGTCATTTAGCAATCTATCAAAACTTCCTCCTATATCAACTTCAGGCGAATCTTCTTGTTGTTCTACATTGGTGAACATACCCATCCGTACATTATCCAACAAATCAAATACATTGTCTTCATTTCTACCTTCATCATTAGCATTATCCCCATGTTCGGCATTAACATTAGCTTCTGCATTAACATTAGCAGTGGTGTTAACATTAGCCTCCCCATGCCATATCCAATTAGTATACTCCTTGTACATCCCACACTTATATAGATGAGTCTCAACCTCCTCAATTGCAATATAGTCACCATTTTTACAGCGACGACACGGACATTTGATCCTACCTAGCCCATCTGTATGTCTTTTAGCAAACTTAATGAAGTCTCTTATGCCTTTATGATACTCTTTACTACCCCTGGTGTGATGATGAATCCAAGCCTTATCCATGTAACTGGTAAAATAAATAAATTCAAGTATAGATATAATATAATTAATGCAAGTTGAATATAAACACAAATTAAATACATAAATAAAATAAAAAAGAAAGGAGAGAGAGAGAGACCTCATTGAGAACACTGAAACAATAAAGAGAGAGTAAAACAAGTCTCTAAGAATATACATGCATACATTGCATAATTATGAATGTCAAAGGGAATTTGGGGGGAAAACAATAATCCTTACAGAAGCTTTATCACATGTGCTGAATCCTACACCAATGGCAATAACTGGAAGGCCTGTCAGAAAATATAGTCACTACATGTTAGTAAGAATACATGAGAAAACATCACAGTTCAATCGGTTTCATTTTTATAAACAACTTTAATTACCAAGATATACAGACAAGAAACATAAATGCTGGAAATGAGATTAATCTAGATCAAGAATAAGCACCTCTCTGATGTACAAATCAATAAGAACAATGGGGGGAATTTGGTTTCTAGAAACATAAAAGTAAAAATTACTTTGACAGAAAATCAGGACTTCTCTTGTTTTGAATATTGACCAAGACCACAGTAGATTATATAACCACCTACATATTCTCTCAGTACATTTTATTTTATATATTTTTTAGTATTAATACAAGACTTGATGATTTTAGGTGGGAAAGGGCTTGTCCAAGGATGAGAAGGCTCAAAAACTAGCAGTCAGACATTAAATTAAAGCTGTAAGCAGAATACCCATTCTATATTTTTGTTATTTCTGTTCCAACACATTAAGAGTCAAAACACTTCATTTTTCCATGAATTATCAGGGTCCAACAAAAATTTATTTGACACATTGTTCATGATTTGAAAACTTACGCTAACCTTTTAAGAAATTAGGTAGTTTAAGCCAAGTTCCTAAGGCTACACTTGCCCGGTATCGTTCCTAACTGGTAACGGTTAATTATGAGAAATCTGAGTCTTTATTTTAGCCCATGATCAGATATTCAATAGAAAGATCAGATTCACAGGAAGAAATAATAATAGTGATAATAATAATAATAATAATAATAATAATAATAATAATAATAATAATTGTGGGTTGGAAGCTTTATATTCTTGGGAAATCTTAAACTAATTCTTCAAAAATTAAAAATTATCATCCAAAATGAAGACTCTCTAGGAACCACTAAATCAGAACCACCTTTAAAAATTACCAATCAACAGCTTACCTCTAAACCAACCAGTCCAGCCATATCAAGCTCGCCTAATGATGATTCTAGCAAACAACCAGACAACTAGAGTAGATCATATAACTATGTTTATATAAATTTCTTACTCTATATCATAATTAATCAGAGCACCAATGTTGACACAAGTACTGCATACAAACATATATAATACAAATATAGGCATAAAAGTTTGTGTGCCCCAAATCCCAATAAGATCTAAATCCACCAGTGTAGAATTCTCAAAAACACACATATGATTCATGATTTGAAAATTAGGGAAAATTTATCAAAAGTGTGGACGCCATTAAAGAAATTACGCACACAATAACCATACGATTGATTGCAAAAACTTACGGATAATTGTCGATTTCAATCACCGATCGAGAGATAGAGAGAGTGAGCTCTGATTGACACGAGAGAGATTAGAAGCAGCAAAAAAGCAGACCTTCCAAATTCAATCGATCCTCCGATCACTATGCTTCTTAGCTCCGATTGACACGAGAGAGGTTTTTCGTATGTGTATCGCTTCACGCCGAGAAGAGTGTGGCAAGCCGAACCCGCATGAAGTAGCTGCAACTGGTGCGGCGTCGTCGGTTGTACAGAGAAAGTATATGAGGGAGAGAGATGAGAAGCCGAACTGGCCAACGTGAGATAATTGCAACTGGCCGGTGCGGCGTCTGCTGTACAGAGAGTAGATAGATGATAAATGTTTAGGTTAAGTTATATAGTGATAGAAATGAGAATGACAGAGACAAAGAGTGGGTTTACAACTTTACAAATACCCAAAACGGTGTAGTATGGAAATTTTTTAATATTTTGCACATGGGAAAATTGGAATTAGGGAGGGAGGAAATCAAGCGCCAAAATTTCCCAGCAGCCAAAATTTCCCACCAAAATAATTCCCGGTTATTTTTTAGCTCATTTGGGACAGTAAGTATGTTGGCGTCCCAAAAAAGCAGGATCATTTGAGACAATTATTAAGCTGTCCCAAATGATCTGTCCCAAGAGCCTCATTTTCCCACCAAAAATATTCCCGGTCATTTTTTTTTCTCATTTGGGACGGTAGATATTTCATTTGGGACGGTAGATATATTATTGTCCCAAAAACTAGGGTCATTTGAGACAATTTTTGAACCGTCCCAAATAATCCGTCCCAAAAGCCTCCTTTTCTTGTAGTGTTTCCTCTTCCGGGGAACAGTGTCTTTTGCACCGACTGGTCTACCACGCTTCTGGTGTGTCTTAGATGCATTTGCAACAGTACTGACAGACTATCCTACAGGGACATCAATTCTTGCTGGAATGTTTACAGCTGGTATATGTGATTTCATCACTTTCTTTGTGTCAGTGAATGCATCGGGTAATTGATTTGCAATACTTTGCAAATGAATGATCCTTTGAACTTCTAGTTCACATTGGTTTGTGCGAGAATCGAAATGAGATAAAGTCGAGACATTCCAATTAATAAATCGATGCTCTTCTGGCTTTTTCTTTCGAAATGACAGTCAGCAAACCGTGCCTTAAACACATCACCTGTCATAGGTTCAAGATATCTAATAATACATGGAGAATCAAAACCTACATAAATACTAAGTCGTCGTTAAAGACCCATTTTGGTGCGTTGTGGGGGTGCAATGGGAACATATACAGCGCAACCAAAAACTCGTAAGTGAGAAATACTTGGTTGTTGACCCATCACAAGTTGTAGTGGTGAAAAACTATGATATGCAGTTGGTCTAATGCGAACTAGTGATGCTGCATGTAATATCGCATGTCCCCAAGCAGAAACAGGTAGTTTAGTTCTCATGAGTAATGGTCTAGCTATTAACTGAAGACGTTTAATAAAAGATTCTGCAAGACCATTTTGAGTGTGAGTGTGTGCAATAGGATGTTCAATAAAAATGCCAATTGACATGCAATAGTCATCAAATGATTAAGATGTGAATTCCCCGGCATTATCAAGACGGATAGTCTGGATTGGATAATCCGGAAATTGTGCTCGTAATCGGATTATTTGAGCAAGGAGTCGAGCAAATGCAACATTATGAGTAGAAAGTAAACTTACGTGTGACCACCGTGTTGATGCATCAATTAAGACCATAAAATAACGAAATGATCCACACGCTGGATGAATTGGTCCACATATATCCCCTTGAATTCGTTGTAAAAATGGTGGGCATTCAACAACGACCTTGGAAGGTGATTGTCTGACTATTAATTTACCCTGTGAACAAGCGGTACAAGGATAATCATTTGCTAAAAGAATCTTCTGGTTCTTTAGTAGATGACCATGTGAATTTTCAATGATTCGGCGCATCATTGCTGACCCAGGATGACCAAGGCGATCATGCCAGAGTATAAAAATATTTGGGTCGGAGCACTTCTGGTGTTTCACTGCATGTGACTCAATTACTCTTATATTGGTATAATATAACCCAGAAGATAAAGCAGGGAGTTTTTCTAATACATGTTTCTGGCATGTAATACGTAGATATTCAATGCCCCCTTCATTTATAGTCTCAATATGATAACCGTTGAGACGTATATCTTTAAAGCTTAATAAATTTTTTTTGGATTTTGTAGAGTATAGAGCATCATTAATATTCAATTGTGTTCCACATGGTAACACAATGATAGCTCTTCCGGAGCCTTCAATTTGGTCTGCTGGACCTGATATTGTATTGACACGAGCTTCAACTAATGTTATACTTGAAAAATATTTTCTATCTCGGAGTATAGTGTGTGTTGTTGCATTGTCTGCCAGACATATATCTTCACCATTTATCTTGGGTACAGTCAATGCCTTAGTCAGATCCATGTTTCTTCATACACACAAAATATATATTTCATTACTTCAAACTTGAAATACAAACTAGATTTACATGCAAGATAGCCAAAATAAAAACATACTAGTACAACCTAGATAGAGACATATTGATATAGGTAAGCTAAAACACACAAGGGATAACATGCTAGAGAATGACACATTAATTGGTATGGATATTTCCATCACCAATCAAATGATCACTATTACCACTAGTATCAGCAAAGAAGTCAGAAACATCAAAGTGAGTAATATCAGTTGTTAAGTCGTCATCCACAAAATTCATTTCAATTTCCTTTCCTTTTCCCTTATCATTCATTGAGGCACGGTAAAGATCAACTAGATGTTTGGGCGTACGACAGGTACGTGACCAATGACCTTTCATTCCACATCTATAGCAAGGCTTGTCATCATATATCTCAGGAGCTTTGTTCTGCAAAGCTTTTTCTTTTGCCTGCTTGGTCGCATTTGAATTCCACTTCTGGTGGGACGGTGTGGAGTTCCTTCTGATAACCAATAAGGAATTATAACCACCATGATTATTATAATTATTTCTATTGCGACCACCACGACGTCCGCGTCCACGTCTACGTCCATGACCGTGAAATGATGACACATTCGCTTCTGGGAATGGTACAGATCCAGTGGGACGGGACTGGTGGTTTTACATCAAAAGCTCATTATTCTGTTCAGCCACCAACAAACAAGAAATCAGCTCAGAATATTTGGTAAATCTGCGCTCTCTATATTGTTGTTGCAGGAGCACATTTGAGGCATGAAATGTGGAGTATGTTTTTTCCAACATATCATCATCAGTAATTTTTTCTTCACATAATTTCAATTGTGAGCTGATTTTAAACAAGGCTGAATTATACTCACTTACACTTTTAAAATCCTGCAATCGCAGGTGGATCCAGTCATAGCGAGCTTTCGGAAGGATCACAGTTTTCTGATGCTCAAATCATTCTTTCAATTTTTCCACAGTGTAAGTGGATCCTTAACCGTGAGGTACTTTGTTTTTAGTTCCTCATGGAGGTGATGGCGAAGAAAGATCATGGATTTTGCACGGTCCTGCAGGGACGCATTATTGTTTTCCTTAATTGTTTCTCCGAGATTCATGGCCTCCAAGTGAATCTCGGCATCAAGGGTCCATGACAAGTAGTTTTTGCCCGAGATGTCAAGTGCCACAAATTCAAACTTGGTAAGATTTGACATTGTGAACTATAAATGATAAAATAACATAGTTAGGATTATTTCACAAAAAGAATAATCAATTTGAGATTATAAAAATACTGCAGTCACTATAATGTGATTTGTCAGTAAATATATAATGTCAAAAGTTAGTCATGTGCTTTCAGTAAACAAAACAATAACAAAAAGACAAAATATGTTTACACTAAATGGCACATAAAATTTATATTTCTACATTTTACAAAACTTCAGGTTTGTAAGGGTACTCCGTGTAAATGACTTCAGGTCAAAGAATTTCAGATTCATTTGGACTTTAGGCCAATAAATTTTGCGAAACTTCGGGTTTGCAAAGAGTACCAAATATTTGTGAAACTACAGGCTCACAAATTTTGCAGAACTTCGGGTTCGCAAAGACTATTTGTGAAACTTCTGGCTCACAAACAGTAGATTAATATATGCAAAACTTCGAGTTTGCACATTAAATAATTTAGTATTTGCGAGACTTCGGGTTCAGCAATTTAATTTTCTATAAGGAATAGACAAAAATACTCTAATATAAATAAATAAATAAATAATTGCGAGACTGCAGGCTCAACAATGTTAATTATATGTGAGACTTGAATAATAACAGTATAATATAAATAATTATTTTTCTTACCCTTTGAAGTGAGAAAGAAAAATAGAATTTTTTTTCTCAGTTGATAGAGCCGAGTGCTGATAACGTGTGATGAATATATATGTCTATCTATTGAGTAATCTTTAATATAGAAATGTAAATTAACTTGTGCAGGGAGAGAGAGAGATACAGAGACAGAACGAGAGAGAGAGATCATTTCTTATTACCCCTTCAGTTCATACACATGATGCCTATTTATAGACATTCAATCCGTGGGTTAGCTTCAAGTATAAGCCAATGCAATAAACTTGCTCACTACTCCAAGAGATGATGTAAGCAATGATGCAAGGTGTGGAGCCCACGTTCACAACACTTTTTGATTAATTGACTAAATGTCTCTTTGGTTATTGTACTGCAGCCTATTATAATTAAAAAAAAAAGATGCAATAGCTTTAGATTGTTATTTACCCCTCAAATTATATGCACCCAACTTAATAATAATATATAATACTAGTAACAATAAAAAAGATGATTGTGGTCCTAAATTTTGGTCACAAGGACCCATTACTAATAAAATTCCTAATTTGCACCCTCCCTAATCTATTTCAGGGCTTTTAGTACACCAAAAAAAAATTCTTTGGTGAAAAAAATTAAATCAAATGAAATTTGTAATTAATGATGTCTAACATTTAATTAATTATATGATCAATGTGTTGATTCACACACACAGAAATTATTGAACACAAGATCCTTATGGAATACGGGATCATCCGATTATTCTCAAGTCAAAAACAAAAATAGTACGTTATTTTGATAAAATCCACTTGCGTTGATAATTCAAGTGACGAGTGACTAAGTTGCTTGTTCCTTGATTAATATATGTATAACAATACTTTTTTTCCCTGGTAAATCAAAGCTTTATTCAAAGAAATGAGAACACTATACAAGAAACAGAGAAGCAGCCCAAACAGAGGGCTTGAAACAAGCCCACAAGGAGCAAACAGTACTTTGATTTTCCAAATGTTGGGTTTTTCCTAATCAGTTTGATTGGCTCGGAAACTTGAGCAGACAGACAATCCACATCACAAAATCACAATGCTAAACTGCTTGTTTGCCACACTTCCACCTTCTCACTCCAACTTAACCATGATCGGACTTCTAACAACACAGTTAGCAGAAACCCATTGCAGAAATGGTTGAATAATATTGGGGGTATCACCTTGGGTAGTTGATTGGGTAAATGTCACACTATATGTCAGCCGTTGGTTGACCTCAGTGAAGTCGAGCCTAGTTGGGTTGACAGTCACAATAACACCAGGAGGAGAAAGGATGTCAACAGTGTAGGAAGAACTAGCTTCACCCACATTTGTCACTGTCCTCGTGTATGTACTAGCATTAGACCCGAGCACAACTGAAAATGAAGGATAATTTAGCTGAGCTTCCGGTATACTTAATTCTTCAGAGCAGTTCACTTTGCGTTGTAAAATGATTCCAACTTCTCTATTTGTGTAACCCAAACCAAATAAATAAGGTATGTAATCATTCGGTTTGAGGTCATACACAAGCCCCGGATCACTTGCTTTTGATGGGTTCACATGGCCTGCCCCAGTCGCGAAAATGTCAGCTGGAAGCATTCTCTCATCCACAATGGGCTTGTCATCGAGGTTATAATGATCAGCAGTAGTCATGATCGCCGACTTAATGGCAGCCGGTGACCAGTCTGGATGTGCACTTTTCAACAATGTGGCGATGCCACTGAGATGAGGACAAGACATTGATGTGCCAGAAAGCATGTCAAATGTGGATATTGTGTTGCTATTGTTTTCAACAGGGAACGGCCATACAGCTAGAATGTTCACACCGGGACCAATAATGTCCGGTTTCAAAATTCCCAGGCTTGCCAAGTTAGGACCCCTGGATGAAAAAAAAAAAGTAACCATAGGAGCGGATTTTACTCCAATTACAGTTCCTTTGAACACGATCGTAGCAGTAGGTGTTGAGGATGAGTTTATATAGGCTTTGATCTTCATTCCCTCATCATAACTCACCTGCGTTGCTGGAAGAACATGCATTCTAGGAAAGGTTATATAGCCGTATGTCTGCTGGTTCATGAGTATCATGGCAGCACCGCCCGCATCCTTCACTGTTTGGTCACTACCTCTCTCACACAACACTGCTTTTCCTGTTACGTCGGTGTTGTTCAGTGCTTCGCGACTGCATGATGCAGTGTCATTGATGCTGGGGTAAACAAGGGGCAATAACTCCGGTGGGAAATCTCTTGGCTGGAATAGGGACTGACCGTTGAATGCCTCTTCGTTTCCAAGTAATGCTGTTGCCATTATGCTTCTTGTTGGAAATCTTATCTATAAGTTGACTCAACGTTTATGGCAGATTTATTGGGTCTTCAATATAGGCTAAGATTTTATTTTTATTCTAATTTGATTTGATTTGATTTTATTCTCTTTATTTTGATTTTATTTTATTCTCTTTTCCATATTTGTAATTTTTCGCTTGTATATAATGATAGTCAGGCTCTTAAATTGAGTACGCCAATTTTACCAAGTTACTTTTTGGTATCAGAGCCTCAAACCTACGCCTCCCCCATCTCTCTCTCTTTCACCGCCTCTTTTAATATCTCTCTCTATCTCGTTACAGCCCCTTCCTTATTTTTTTTTCACAGACCTTCTCTCTTTTTCAGGTTGTTGTTGCGACAGTCCTAGGGGGAGTCAATCTCCTCTAGGTTCGACCCTTGTAGGGGTATTCCCTTAGTCTTTTTCATGCACTAAGGGTCAGAAGACGTGTTTGTAATTTTTTGGGGCTGCCGGGATATTCAGCAGCATTTTCGGACTTCTTGGTTTGATCAAAATCAGGTCTATTCCTCATTTATTTGAAATTATTGATAATCTGTTGAATTGATCTATTTAATATTATGGCTGAATCAAGTAATAATAAAGAAACTCTCTTTTCGGCGCAACACACACCGGCTCAACGAGTTACTAGTGTGCTGTTGAATGGTCGTAATTTTGCATTCTAGGCTCGTTCCCTCTGCCTCTATGTTGGTGGAAAAGGCAAATTAGGGTGGATTTTGGGTACTGAAAATAAGCCAGATATTAAAGATCCTAATATGCTCAGTGGGATATGGACAATTGCACCATTTTAGGATGGATGTTTAATTCTATGGAGGAACGCATTTATAATATATTCATATTTTATGACTCTGTTAATGACTTGTGGACTGCTTTGAATCAAATGTATGCTCATTCTAGGAATGATGCTCGTATTTTTGAATTATATCAAGATATTACTAAGGCCTCGCAGGAAGGCCTGAATTTGTCTGTAACTGATTATTTTGGGTATTTGAGATCTCGTTGGGAGGAACTAGCTTAATATGAGCCTCTCAGTGAATTTCCTTCTGAGACAGCCTCTCTTCTTGTCAAACGTCTTGATCGTCAGCATACCTATCAGTTTTTTATGGGATTACACTCAGAATTTGAACCACTAAAGTCTCAGATCTTGAATGCATCACCAATGCCATCCCTGTTGGAAGCCTTTGCTACTGTTGATGGTGAAGCACGTAGGCACCGTTTAATTCAGCCCTCAATTGTTCCTGCACCAGTGTCTGAGCCTGCTGGGGATAGTATAGCTTTTGCAGCCAACTTTGGATCACGAGCTTCTGGAGGTCAGATTATTTGTCACCATTGTGGAGGGGTTGGACATGTTAAGGCTCGTTGCTTCAAACTTCATCCTGAACTGAAGCAAAAAATTTCTAGGAACTGTTTATCTGGAACTGGTTTTTCTCGTACTGCGGCTGTTGCAAAAACTCCTGTTACTACTGGTGGATCTACTATATTTCCTGGACTGAGCTAGCTTCAGTCTTAGATTGGGCATATCCAAGACTAGCTTAGCTCCCTTGCTTCTAGAGTTAGTGCTCCTTCAACTGCTCCCACTGCAACTATTGCTACAGGTACTCCTACTGCATTTCATGTTAAGGCCAAGCAGCCTACTTGGGTTCTGGATTCTGGGGCCAGTGATCACATGACTGGTGAGTTATCAGTTTTTTCTTCTAATGTCATACCTGTTACCCAATCTGTGTATCTTGCGGATGGCTCTACATCTTACATTCACAGTAAGGGTGATGTTTGTCTGTCTCCTGATATTACTCTTTCATCTGTCCTTCATGTACCTAAATTTGCCTTTAACCTTTTATCTGTTAGTCGGCTTGCAAAAAACCTCCAATGTGCAGTTATATTCTTACCAGATCACTGTTTGTTGCAGGACCTTTGTTCGAAGAGGATTTTTGGTAGGGGTTATGAGCGTGATGGGCTTTATTACTTTGGGGAACCACCAGGAACGAATCTTCAAGCTTCTGTCCTACCTACTTCTAGTGTTTATGATGTTTCTTTTCGCA